ATACACCCAAGGTCGTGCTTTTGCTCTCATGGACTTGTTTTAATTTGTTTCAGCTTCAGCTTGAACTTCCATGTAAGCAATGGCCTTGTCTGGACTGATGATACTGAGCTTCTCAACTGTCTCTTTCCACAGATGTAGTTGATTGATTCCTGTGTATTCCATTGGGTGAGATCCACATGTATATTTGCTGTTTATGTTGTTGAAAAAAGGTATTTGCAATGAATAGGTCATTGGTCTTGCAGAATTCTGTCATGAGATCTCTGGCATCATTTCTATCACCAAGGCCATATTTTCCGACTACTGATCCTTCTTGTTTCCAACTTTCACATTCCAATCACCAATAATTATCAATGCATCTTGATTACGTTTGATCAATTTCAGACTAAAGAAGTTGGTAAAAACCTTCAATCTCTTCATCTTTGGCATTAGTGGTTAGTGCGTAAATTTGAATAACAGTTGTATTAACTCATCTTCCTTGTAGGCATATGGATATTATCCTATCACTGACAGCGTTGTACTTCAGGATCTTGAAATGTTCTTTTTGACCTTGAATGCGAGGCCATTCCGCTGCAATTTGTCATTCCTGGCATCGTAGACCATATGATTATCTGATTCAGAATGGCCAATACTAGTCCATTTCAGCTCACTAATGCCTAGGATATCAATCTTTATGCGTTCTTGTCTTAGTCATCTAGTACTGCTATAACAGAAGTACCACAAGTGGATGGTTTTAATGAAGAGAGGTTTATTTCCTCACAGTCAAAGTAGGCTAAAAGTCCAATTTCAGGGTGTCAGCTCCAGGGGAAGTCTTTTCCTCTCTGTCGGCCTTCTCTTTGGTGTTCCCCTGGACTAGGAGCTTATTGGCGCAGGGACCCCTGTCCAGAGGATGCGCTCCGCTCCTGGCACTGCTTTCTTGATGGTATGAGGTCCCCAGTTCTCTGCTTGCTTCCCTTTCATTCTCTCTCAAAAGATAAAAGGTGGTGCAGGCCACACCCCAGGGAAACTCCCTTTACATTGGATCAGGGATGTGACCTGGGTAAAGGTGGTGTTAGAATCCCACCCTAATCCTCTTTAACATAAAATTACAATCATAAAATGGAGGTCAACCACACAATTCTAGGAATCATGGCCCAGCCAAATTGATACACATTTTTGGGGGGACATAATTCAAACCATGACATTCCACCCTTTGGCCCCCAAAAAATCACATCTTTGCAACATGGAAAACTTATTCACCCCATCGTATCAGCAAAAGTCTTAACTCCAAGTCCAGAATCCAAAAATTCCTCTTTATCTGTGAAATCTAGAATACAAGTTATCTGCTTCCAAAGGTACTGTCTTAGTCATCTAGTGCTGCCATAACAGAAATACCACAAGTGGATGGTTTTAATGAAGAGAAGTTTATTTCCTCACAATCAAAGTAGGCTAAAAGTCCAAATTCAGGGTGTCAGCTTCAGGGGAAGGCTTTCTCTGTCAGCCTTATCATCAGTGTTCCCCCAGACTAGGAGCTTCTCAGCACATGGACCCCTGTCCAAAGGATGCGCTCTGCTTCTGGCACCACTTTCTTGATGGTATGAGGTCCCCCTGTCTCACTGCTCACTTTTGTGTTTTATATCCCAAGAGATTGCCTCAGGACACAATCCAGTCTTGTAGATCAGGTCCTGCCTTACTAACACAACTGCTGCCCATCCTCCCTCATTAACATCATAGAGGCAGGTTTACAACATACAGGAAAATCACACAGTACCAGGAATCATGGCCTAGCCAAATTGATACACATTTTTGGGGGACATAATTCAAACCATGACATTCCACACTTTGGCCCCCCAAAAATCACATCCTTGCAACATGGAAAACATATTCACCCCCATCATATCAAGTCTTAACTCCAAGTCCAAAATTCAAAAATTCCTCTTCATCTGTGAAATCTAGAATACAAGTTATCTGCTTCCAAAGGTACAATGGCAGAACAGGCACAAGCTAGACATTTCCATTACAAATAGGAGAAACTAGAGGAAAAGAAGTGATAACAGGCACCAAGCAAGTCAGCAGAACACATTACATTAGCCCTCAAGGCTTTGAAAATAATCCTCTCTTCTCTGAGACAATTAACACAATGGCCCTGCCCTCCAGACTCTAGGTATTGGTCACAGTCTCTGGATTCTGAGTGGAGGCCCATCAGCCCTGGGCTTCAGCTCCGCCTTCCAGGCCCACTGGGGACAGCAACTCTGCTCCCTTGGCTTTAGGCACATCATTCTCCCAGTCCATCTGAGTGTCGACTCCACCCTTAGAAGCACCAGAGGCCATTGCTCCACCCTTTGAAACCCCTGAGGTCATGGCCATACCTTTGAAACTGAGGCAGCTCAGCTTCTTGTGTTCCTTGTCTCTTCAGCTTCTGTTTCTGTTTCCTGTGGCCTCTGGGCCCTCGGGCCTCTTGCTCGCATCTGCCCTGCTAGGGCAAGTGTTCCAAAGCTCTGTAGCTCCACCGGTATAAGTGCCTGGAGGCATCCCACTCCGTCAGAAAGCCTCGTGCACACACTCAGCTCTCTTGCTCTGTGACAGTTCTATTTAATTTTTGATGACTTCAAATTTTCTTTGATTCATACTTCGTACATTCCTCATTATGATTACTGATGGTTGTTAGCAGCTGTTTCTTCTCACTTTACGTCATGCCCCATCAGCAAATGAATAATAAATGCTTTTAAAAAAAGTCAACATGTGAACACTTTTACAGCTCTTGACTGTCTTTGAGGAAATGAACTTGACAAAAAGTTGCCTTTCCATCTTGGGCTGCTGATAAAAGAGCCTGAAGTAGAGAGGGTGTATGTATACAGATAAAAGCATGTATAATTAATTACATGCCATAGAAAAACACCATACAGATGAATTTTTAAACATCATATTAATTTACGTATGCCTCTTCTATCCTTCACTGGCTGGAGTAATCAATACTCAAGCAAACTGATTTCATTACTATGTTCCCTCCTTCCTATACCATGTGTCAAGGATTGAATTATGTTCCCCAAAAAATGTGTGTAGCAGTTTGGCTGGGCCATGATTCCCGGTATTGTGTGATTTTTCTATATGTTGTAAATCCTGCCTCTATGATGTTAATGAGGGAGGATGGGCAGCAGTTGTGTTGGTGAGGCAGGACTTAATCTACAAGATTGGATTGTGTCCTGAGGCAATCTCCTGAGATATAAAAGACAGAAGTGAGCAGTGAGACAGGGGGACCTCATACCATCAAGAAAGCAGCGCTGGGAGCAGAGCACGCCCTTTGGACTGGGGTCCCTGTGCCGAGTAGCTCCTAGTCTGGGGGGAACACTGATCAGAAGGCTGAGAGAGAGAGAAAGCCTTCCCCTGGAGCTGACACCCTGAATTTGGACTTTCAGCCTACTTTACTGTAAGGAAATAAACCTCTCTTTGTTAAAAGCATCCACCTGTGGTATTTCTATTATAGCAGCACTAGATAACTAAGACACCACGCTAATTTGAATCTCTATGTATAAAGTTTTCACTCATGACATTCCGGAAGCAAGGAATGACTGCCTTACATACTTTTAATAAACCTAAACCTTGGCGTTATGCTGGGCTCTGGGGATTCAGTGACAAACTGAACAAAACTGACCTGGACCCCAACCTCCTGACCACTCTTCATCTGTCTAAATTCCACCCTTATTTCAAGGTTCAGAGAAAATCACCACGAAACGCTTAGATACAGTGTATGCAATTACTCATAATTCTAAGCTCACGGCACATTTTCATAACTGGTCATGCAAGAGCCCGCTCTTATTATAATTTTATCCTCATACTGTACCCCCAGTCCCTTCTCCACTGTTAGGTGCCGTCAACTTGGTTCTGACTTAGCGACGTCATGTACAACAGAACGAAACACTGCCCAGCCCTGTGCCATCCTCACAATCACTATGCTTGAGCCCCCCGCTGCAGCCACTACATCAGTCCATCTCATTGACGGTCTTCCTCTTTTTCACTGACCCTCTACTTTACCAAGCATGATGTCTTTCTCCAGGGACATATCCCACTCTAAGCAACTATTATAATACATTCAACGTGCATCTTTATGTTGTTTTCTTGCAAAACGAGCACTATCTTCTATGCATATATATTTAAGTGTATGTGAACAATACTGTTATAGTTCATTGCTTCTTTCATCAATCATCAAGGTTCTAGGATATATCTTGTTGTGTCTCCATTTATTCCATTCCTTCTACCCAATATATACCCCATGGTGTACCTCCATCACATGTCACCTTCCCTCTTTCCCAAGCATAGTCAACAGGATGACCTCCAACACCCCCCAGCAATTATTCTACAGTTACTTTATGTATGTTACTTTGGTTCCAGCTAAATTTTGAACTACTTGTAGATAAGGATCATGTTTTTTCTTCTGTTACATCCTTCTTGAAAATAGATATTCAAGGAATATTGGTTGATTTTCTGTTGTGGCCTGTATATGTTTTCTACTGCAAGGTGCTAAAGGTTAATTATAATAACTTGAGTAAGGAGCTGACAATGGAGTCATGAGCTGAGTTTAATCCTGGCTTTACCCCTTACTAGCTTTGTGACCTTGAAGAAGTAACACCTAGCTGCTTTGGGTGTCTCTTCTTTCATCTATAAATGTGGATGATACTACCTACCTTATAGGGCTGTTATCAGGAATTAACTGAATGAACTAATACAAAGCACCCCAGTACAGCAAATGGCATATAACAGGTGTTTAATAAATGATGATTGCTATAAATCTGCCAACTGTTTCAAATTACAGTCATTTGTGTACTTATCAACTCTTCTAAGAGTGTAAGCATCTTGGAGGCAGGACCAGTTCAGAAACTTGTTCGTATTTTGCAGGACCCAGTACTCCGCCTTGTGAGAAATAGTCCATACACTTAACGTTAAATGAATTCATTAGTTAGCATTCTGCTAACCTAGATTTTCAGCATGTACACTGGAGTATTTTAAAATACTTTTATCCAAGAATGTAATATGTGTTAATATCTTTATTGCGAGGTGCACGGCAATCTTTTATTATTCATTACATGTTGAAAGGAAAGTTATATCTATTAATAAGTAAAATTACAAATCAGTCTTGAGTGTATAAAGAGATTGCTGTTTTCCATCTCCCTCCAGTGGCTTGAAAAGTACAGTGCTCCTTCAGTCATGTTTTTTCTTCAAGGGTTTAAAATAAGAGGAATCTGCATCCTGTAACAGAGTGGCAGTAACATGAATCAGTCCCTTCTGATATTTACTTCAGTTTCAACAATTCCTTCTGTTTGGAGGAGCTATATGATTATGATTCCATGTTAAGAATATTTATAAAACCTGGGAAAATGCTTAAGTTAGAATAAAAATCATAACCAAAATTCTAGATCTATGAAAACAAAAACCAACAACTCTCTAATGGGCTTAGCATCATTATCTCTATCTGGTAATAAATACTGATTAGCATCTGCTCATGCCATTTCTTAAATGCTGAATTCTCTATTATTACTCTTCTGGACCAATATATAATACCTACACTGACTTGCCTTAATAAATACAAAGAATAGGTCACAGTATTTAGAATTGAAGTATTTGATGGGTAATTCTAAAATGATTTGTGAAGTTTTAGTATATTGTTTAAAGAGTAAAATAAGGCAAACTGATAATCCCTAAGATGTGACATTTCACTTGAGAGGATGTACACTTACCACTTCTAAGAATTTGCACTAAGTAAGGAAAAAAAAAAGATAACAAAATTCAGTACAGCTAGTTTTCCTGATCCCTAAAAATAATAAAACCAGTTACTGTCAAGTCATTCTGACTCATGGCAACCCCATATGTATCAAAGTAGAACTCTGCTCCATAGGGTTTCAATGGCTGACTTTCCAGAAGTAGATAACCAGGCCTTTCTTCCAAGGTACCTCTGCGTAGACTCAAACCTCCAACCTTTTAGTTAGCAGCTGAGCACATTAACCGTTTGCACCACCTAGAACTCCAACAACTACTATAGGAAGGCTGAAACTCTCCAGTCCCTGGCCCACTTGCTCTCTCAAACAATTATTTCTATAATGCATTCTCTCTGTCATATTATTTAGGTCTTTGATCTTCATTATCTATAAAATGATAGTGCTACCATCAACTCAGGATTAGAAAGAAAATAAAAGCACAAGAGCTAACACTTAGTAAACTAGCATAAACCTGAAGCTGTGTTTGTTGAAGAGCTTTCCACATACAGTGAAACCTGCGAGAGCTGGAACTCAATGGGATTGCCTTGTTTTTCCGGGCCTCGCAAGTTTTCCGCCTTTGACAGGGAGCATGCAGTCCTGCCACTTTTCTATTGCTCTCTATTAAAAACCCTACCTCATAAACACCCCATGAGTTCTCCTTCTCTGACAGATTTCCACCTTACAGAGTTCTGGCTTTTGCAGGTTTAACTGTACTAACTCATTTAATCCCCATAACAACCCTATTATCATTAATCCCTATTTTATAGATGGGGAGATTGAGTTATACAGAAGTAACTTGCCTACGGTCACGAGGTGGATTTGAACATGAGTCTCCATAAGTCAGAATCAACTCAACAGCAACTGCTTTAATTTTAAGCCTGGCATCAGGCTTCCTTGTTCTTTACCAGGATGCTTTGCCACCTCACCTAGTAAGGTGGCTTTTCCCTCCCAACTCTTAGCCATCACTGGACGAAATGGCACTATATTAGCTGTCCTCCAAATTTAAAACTCAGGAGTAATCTTTCACGAAGTTCTATCTTTAGAACCAGCCGCACACTACCAACTCCCACCCTCACCAAAATACTTATAAATGAACTGGTGCAAAGTAAACTGGTCCACATTACAACTTGGTAGAAAATGAACAGTCCCTTCATGATTTTTCAAGCTCTGGACATTTTACTGCACCATGGAATAGTTCTATAGCCTTTAAATCTCTTTAAGCATTCTTTTGTTTTGTTTTTTGCTTTTTTCCCCCCAACTCATTTTCAGCCAATTAACGTGTTCTACAAAAAGTTGGAACAAATTAAATTTCTAACTATTAGTAGATTCCTTAAATAATGGTAGAGTATATAATGGTACATATGATATGATCCCATTTTTATAATTCTCTTTTTATATATATATATCAATCCCTATTGGTTGATTTCTAAAAAAGGTATTAACAATCACTGAAAGAAATACTTCAACAATAAAAACCATCAGCAGCACTAAACTTTCTTCGTACAACCATAATCTATAAGTTTTGGCTTAACTCAACATTTCCTGTGCTGTTTATACATTAAGCTCTTTTGATGATCGTAATTTTCTCAGGAATAGTTAATAATATTCCCCATTTGCTGTAAGAATGAGTGCTGAAAGAATGAGTACTCAGCATATTTTTCTTGCACATGGACATAGGCACATCTCAGATGTGCAGAGAACTTCAGGAACAAGGTAAAAGAAAGCAGTACTACCCAGTGTACATGTGTCTGTTTTAACAGTGCAGTAAATGCTTTGACAGAGGTAAGCATGGGGGTGCACCTGTTTCTGAGAAGCAGGAGGGGAGGCACAGTATCACCCCAAGAAGGTGACACCTGAGCTGAGACTTGTAGGATGGGTAGGAGTTTGTGGGGAGAAGGAGAGAGAAAGAATTTTGGGCAGAGGGAATGCCATCTGTCATAGGCTAGATACGGGGGGAGTCAGAAATAGGCAATGCAAGCGGTAAAAGACAGAGTGTGGGCAGAATCTCTCACTAAAGCAGATGCTCTCCTTCCTAAAATTCTAAACGGCTCTGAATGAAAAATTTACGGAACACTGTTTTGGGTACTCCAGGAGCAAATTTTAACAAACGCTGGTCAAACAATAAGTGTAGAATAAATCTGCAATCTTTGATTCCAATCAATCTTTGATTTTACCTTGTAAAAAACTTTTTTCCAAGACCAGTAATAATTTATAGTAAACCAACAGATATGTCTAGGGATAAAATACTTTTTAAAATTTATATCATGAGGTTGGCAGAGGGGTAATAAAATTTTTTTAAGCACTACAAAATTTTATACTTTTCTGCAAGATTGACATGCATTATTAAAAAATGTATAAATTGGTCTTACCAAACCACTCTTAAAATTCTCAATCCTTTTCTTCCCTAACTTGCCGATTATCCAGAAGGTCAGTGTTGGCATATATTGGCCCAAATATGCTGCTAACAAAAAAGGGTGATCCGAGATCCAAACTTCTTTCAAATCATTGGCCATACTGATTAGCATCAACCGCACACAACGACTGGTTGCCATCTTGTAGGACTGATCTCCAGGATTACCTACAGACTAAGAAAATTAAAAAATTAAAGTGAATGTTGAGTATCTACCCAACCTATCTCACAGACATTGTCTTGATTCCAATTAGGTACATTTTCCATTTTTACCCTGGAGCCTCTACAGAAAGTGTGAAAATGTAAATTGTATCTGTGAACATTTACACAGAAGCATATTTATGCCTAGTAAAAATGAATCTTCAAGGAAGAAGGTTCATGATCTTGACAGGGATTTTGTATTACTAAATGATACTGGATTCTTCATGAAACAATTGCTGTTCATTTGATAGATCACCATGTGTAATCCGTGAGCTAAGGGGAGCACAGGCCTCGGCAAGGCTAACCTAAAATAATCAAAATTCGACAAGGCTTTTTCTAAGCTCCTTCAACAGATTCCTTCAAAAAATCCCAGTAATATTTAACATACTAAAATCCAGCTACACAGACCCTTTCAATGTTGCTATTATTTGTGAACTGGCAGAAACTGAGTTTCTTAAATATTGATAACCTATGTAATAGTGGATTACTTATAAGTGATAGCTTAGCAATTTCATTAGGCTTTATTAAAACTGGATGCCAAAGCATTCACCTAACCTTCACAATTTTCATAATATTAAGTTTTGTGAATAATTTATAAGCAGTTCTAATATGAAAACCCTAAGATGTAGTAATACAACACCAATATGTATCTACTAAAGCACTCAAATTATTTCAACTAGAAACATTTACCTTCGTCACTTCTTCAGTCACGGCATTCTTCACAATATTTGACTGCACAGGTCCCGGGCAAATGTTAGAAACTGTGATACCTGGGTATGTGACAAGTTCAGCTCGGAGTCCATTAAAAAAACCCTAACGGCCCAAAAAAAATTTTTTTTAAGAAATAAAACTAAACACAGATACAGATCTCCTGTTTACTATAGGCCAAAATTACTTTTCTTCAATTTTTTTAAGAAGGACAATAGCAACACATTAAAATATATGTTTTGAAATGCCAGAGTAAAGGACAGATGATATAATTATGCAAGTTTATTTGGCATTTTTAACCGAAAGACTGAAGGCAATCTAGAACAGACATTCTCAACTCTGTCTGGATATGAATGATTCATGAACCCTTTGGTAGTGGCAGCTCCTCACATCAGTGATTTCTATGCTAGGCAGGCCCTGGATAGATGAAAAACTATACCTGGAGATTCTGACACACCCTCCTTACAGTCCCCATGTCCCCACTCCAAAAGGGGTGTGTGCACATTCTCCATTGAGAATCACTGACGTTGGGTTTATTATTTTATCACACACAGTGGTCTAAAGTGCCAACATTTGGGGTAAGGAGGAGCAGGAAAGGGTTAATACTTAACAGAAATTATCATAAAGAATTCAATTTTTTCAATTTATTATTTTACTATTTTACAGGACTGAATTAGTGTCACCAAATGTTATGGACTGAATTGGGAGTCTCCCAAAAATATGTGTTATAAATCCTAACCCCTATAATAACCATGGTTATAATCCCATTTGGGAATGGATTTGTTGTTGTTGTTGTTGTTAATGAGACAGTATTAGGGTACAGTATAACTTAAGTCAATCTCTTTTGAGATTAAACAAGCAAGCGAGGGGAGCAGACATGGGAAAAGATAGACACAATGCCATATGAAGATTACCAAGGAGCCAAGGAATAAGGACGTTCCCCCAGAGCCGACAGAAAGAAAGCCTTCCCCTAGAGCTGGTGCCCTGAATTCGGACTTCTACCCTCCTGAACTGTAAGGAAATAAATTTCAGTCTGTTAATAGCCACCCACTTGTGGTATTTCTGTTACAGCAGCACTAGATAACTAATTTACCAAACTTCTGTCTTTTTTGGGTGATAAGAAGGTAGATGACTAGTTAAACATGTAATATCACTGCTTCCTGAACGACTTTAGTAAAACCAGCTAAACCTTCTATAATTAAAGATACTGGCTGTTTCTTTTTTCGTCTATTTGTTGAAGATAATTAAATCAGTAGGTAGTAAACAGAGATTCTACTTCCCCTCATCTCTCTTCCTAAATTGGGAAATTTTCCAAGACTACATTATCACATCCAAGTAAAATTTTGTTGACAATCATTCAAAAGCAGCTGCAGCAATACATGGACAGGGAACTGCCAGAAGTTCAAGCTGGATTGAGAAGAGGACGTGGAACCAGGGATATCATTGCTGATGTCAGACCGATCTTGGCTGACAGCAGAGAATACCAGGAAGATGTTTACCTGTGTTTTATTGACTATGCAAAGGCATTCGACTGTGTGGATCATAACAAATTATGGATAACATTGTGAAGAATGGGAATTCCACAATACTTTACTGTGCTTACGAGGAACCTGTATATAGATCAAGAGGCAATTGTTCGAACAGAACAAGGGGATAGTGCGTGGGGTAAAGTCAGGAAAGGTGTGCATCACAGTTGTATCCTTTCACCATACTTATTCAGTCTGTATCCTGAGGAGATAATCTGAGAAGCTGGACTATATGAAGAAAAATGGGGCATCAAGATTGGAGGAAGGCTCATTAACAACCTGCGTTACGAAGATGACACAACCTTGTTAGCTGAAAGTGAAGAGGACTTGAAGCACTTATTGATGAAGATCAAAGATCACAGCCTTCAGTATGGATTACACCTCAACATAAAGAAAACAAAAATCCTCACAATTGGACCAATAAGCAACATCATGATAAACGGAGAAAAGATTGAAGATGTCAAGGATTTCATTTTACTTGGATCCACAATCAACACCCATGGAAGCAGCAGTCAAGAAATCAAGTGATTTGCATTGAGCAAATCTGCTGTAAAAGACCACTTTAAAGTGTTGAAAAGCAACGATGTCACTTTAAGGAGAAAAGTGCACCTGATCCAAGCCATGGTGTTTTCAATCACATCATATGCATGCAAAAGCTGAATGAATATGGACGACCGAAGAAGAACTGATGCCTCTGAATTATGGTGTTGGTGAAGAATACTGAATATACCAGGGACTGCCAAAAGAACGAACAAATCTGTCTTGGAAGAAGTACAACAAGAATCCTCCTTAGAAGCAAGGATGGCGAGACTACATCTCACAGACTTTGGACATGTTATCAGGAGGGATCAGTCCCTAGAGAAGGACATCATGCTTGGTAAAGCACAGCGTCGGCAAAAAAGAGGAAGACCCTCAACGAGATGGATTGACACAGTGGCTGCAACAATGGGCTCAAGCATAACAACAACGGTGAGGATGGCGCAGGACCAGGCAGTGTTTCGTTCTGTTGTACATAGGGTCGCTATGAGTCGGAACTGACTCGACGGCACCTAACAACAGTAACAACAACATTGTTGCTATGAGGCTGGGTTAACTATTGAAAAGCCTAAACACCTCACCCACAATACATTCATATATGATACAACAACATTAAACAAATATCAGTCTTTAATGCTGTCCCCAACACAGGGCCTATGAGGAGGGCTCATGCTGTCAGAGCCTAAGACAGTGCCTGACTCAGAAATGGAACCCCCACCAAAAAAAAAAAAAAAAAGCTTGGTAAATGAATGAAGAATTCCCATACATTTAACCTATACCCTTTTTATACCAAGAGGAGAGAGGACAACACAAACCAACGCATCAGACAATAAAACCTCTCCTTGCTTGAAATCATTTCCAGTATAGTGCGTACACTCTTCAATGATACACAAGTGCACTCTATACTTTTCTGGGAAGCTGGGAAGGAAATGTGTTCTTCAAAAAGAGCCTCCTCATCTCTGTGTTCAGATACTGGTATAACGAACTAGTGTCTCAACCTGCCTCGTCCTATCAGAGGATCGAGTCAAATAAGAAAACAGTGAGAGCAGAGGGCAGACTAGACAACTTTCCTGTGTTTTACTGACAGCATCCTACCTGTCATAAGAGATACTTGTTGCCAAAAAGACAAGGTGATCACCCTCCTTTATTTGCCTGCCCAAGGCTTGCCCAATTGCTCTGCAGGAAGTGACTGATACCTCGTTACTAAATATGAGGAAATCATCAGTGCATTCCACTTCTTTCTGCAGCTGTCTGCTCTTCACAACAGAAAAATGTCCTAACGAGCCAAAATATGTTAAAAGAATCATAACAGAATACTATGAAAAACTGTACTCTAAAAAATTTGAAAACCTAGAGGAAATGGACAAACTTCTAGAAACACACTACCTACCTAAACTAACACAAACAGAGGTAGAACTAAATAAACCTACAACAAAAGAAGAGAGTGAAAAGCTAACTTAAAAAAATCCCAGCCAAAAAAAGCCCTAGCCTGGATGGTTTCACTGGAGAATTCTACCAAACTTTCAGAGAAGAGTTAACACCACTACTACTAAAGGTAATTCAGAGCACAGAAAAGGCTGGAATACTCCCAAACTCATTGTATGAAGCCAGAACAACCCTGATACTAAAACCAGGTAAAGACACCACAAAGAAAGAAAATTACACACCAATATCCCTCACGAACATAGACGCAAAAATCCTCAACAGGAGTTCTGGCAAAATGGCGCTCTAGGCAGAAGCACCATGCCCTCCCTCCACAACAAAGATCTGAAAAACTAAGCTGAACAGAGAATACAACAATCCTGAAACCCTA